ATTCACAAATTAATACTTTAATAATATATATATAGAAGTATCATTTTATTTTTATTATAAATAAATAAATTTAATTTAATTTAGTTTAATTTTATTTATATATATTATATTATTTCAATTCAAAAATGTATATTTTAAGTTTATATTTATATTTTAATTTATTTAAATGAAATATCATTTATTTTTTATTAAATAGTAATATATTTATTTATTATTTTCAAATTTTACATGTAATTTCATTTAATTTATTTTTTATTTCATTTTATTATATTTCAATTACATTTTTTATAATTACTTTAGTTTTTTATTATTTAAATGTCCGATTTTAAGGGCAAAAAAGTAAATTCTGCGACTTTGGGATGAAAAAATGAAGAAAAAGCCGCACAACACGCGCGTACACACTACTTCCGTCAACTTAGATGGTTTAGGGTACTTCGAGCATGCAAAACTACATTACAAGGGAGTTTGACGCAATTTTTAAATTACAGGGGGATAACGCGCAGATTTAGAATAATACATGGGGGTTTGGTGCAATTTACCCTCGGGAAAACTAACAACTAGTTATCCTACATAGTCACCTTGGCTAAACATCTACTGCCAATACAAGCATAAACATCAAACATAAAGACATAAACAAAAAAAGACTTAAGCAACTGCAAAATATCATCGATAACAATGAAGTTAGACCTCTTAACATAGCTTCATTGATTTAGTCTGTACTCCATCCTCTGATCTTCGAAGCAACAGTGCAAGGAAATGACGACCTTGTTCGTCTTGGCTTCTGCAGAGCCCAATGGATAGCAAACAACATGGCTTCCTCATAGTTGCCATCAAAATCCTTAGCACTAGCCCAGTTCAGTTCGATCTCTCCTCTGATATTCACCCAACTCTTCCTTCTGTTGGATCACTTCACCCAAACCAACTTCTCCAGAGAAAATTTTCAACTTTAGGTTTAATAGGCGGCTTCCAAGTTGTTTTCCACAGTTTCTTATCATATTATTGATAACTACTAGAACATGGGGAATCCTTGGACTTCAACATATTAGCAACAAGCAGATCATAGACAACTTTGACAGGAAAAAAACCCCTTTTTACTCCCAGGGCCGGCCCTGAGGGAGGGCCAGCTGGGCAACCGCCCAGGGCCCATAAATTTAGGGGGCACCAAATTATGAGAAAACTTTTTACTTTTGTGGCCCCAAGTCTTTAACTTTTGTGGCCGTTGAATTTTGAAAGCCCACATCATGACTCTTTAAATGAAAAAGAGAAGTACTTTACTATTTTTTTTTAAAAAAAAAAGGCATAAGGAGAGGTATTTTACTATAGTCCTAGCCCATTAATTATTAATGCCCTATTTTATGTTTGGGCTTATCAATTTAGTATTTTATTTTATTAATAGCCAACTAGTTTATGCTATTCTCCTTTTCATAAAATTCGCCACGGTTTTCCTCTATTGAAATTTATTATTCTATTTTCAATGTCTAATAAAAAGGATTAAAAAAATCTTATTATTAGTTACTTACATACATTTAATTATTACTAGTAAATAATTTATTTTTTCTCACATATATTACAATTGTTATATTTTTATTACATCTACATGTGTGTGTGTGTGTGTATATATAGAAAAGATTTACAAAAAATACGTAAATATTTAACGTATACCTTATTTGAAAACTTTATTTTTGTAAAAACAAACACAAGGCTTTACTGTTATTGTCTCCAAGTCCGTTCCTAGAAATTGGAGGGAATGAAGTCTCGGCGCACTTCATTAATTCATTTCATCAGAAATTCAGCTTAATTGACAGCAAAAAAAAAATAAATAAAAAAAGACTATTGGGTCATTTGCGTTTGTCAACCTTTTTTTATTAAATTTTATAATTTTGTTATAACTTTTTTCTTTATTTCCAAATATTTAATAATCTTGTTATAACTTTCATTCTTCAGTATTTTTTATAATATAATAAATTATTAATGATTTATAAAATAATATGGACACCATTTATCATTTAGCCCAGGGCCTCTAATTTCTCAGGACCGGCTCTGTTTACTCCCATGGCACAATAAATCTATCTCGTAACCCCAACAAAATAATGAGAATTTTTAAAATAGCCTTTGCCTCAAAAGGGTTGAGGGTTTGGTCAATTATGTATTTATCCCCTCTATCTCTCCTCATGCTTAATTAACTCCCAGACCCTGCTAAGCTTGTCGTTGTCCCCGGCAAAAAAAAAAAAAATCATCCTTTAAGTCACCTCGGTTTTTATTTTGGTCCCGCATATGGTCCGCTTTTAGAAATAGTCTTGTAAATGAAAAAAATAAAAAATAAAAAATTATTTTTTGGTCCTCTGACCGCCTATATTAGGTCACCGTGACCAGATGGAATACGAGAAAATTCGCCCGGTTTTTCCTTTTTTTTCTCGGTGAGCTGTTTGCTATGTGGCGATTATGTGGCATAATTGCAAAAAATATACAAAGGAGTGGGTTCGAACTCGGGTTAAATGGGCATTAAAAGAGCTCATGAACCACTTGAGATAACACACATTGTGTTAATTCTTTAACTTCAACTATATATCTACCAACATCGTTTTATCTAATATATATATATATATATATATATATATTATACAAAATGTACTACTTTTAAATTTTAACAAATTTATTTTATATTATATATATATATATTTTTACTAAATAAAAAATAAATTAAATATTATAGTAAATTATATATTTAATATTGATAAATATGTTAAGTAATTATATATATATTAAACAAATATATTGAAGGATGTTGATATTAAATAATTATATATCAGTTTATTATATAATAAATAAATTGTATTTAATTATT